AATTTTAATATTTTATCTAACCTCCGCTTTATTTAAATAATCTGGAGGCACCTTTCCTTTCTTACGTCTCATGGAATTGTCGCGCATGAACAAAACTCTTTACGTACAAAACTATTTACAAGAAGAAAGCGGTTTTATACGTGTGTTTGATCAGCTGATTGATCGTCATAATGACTATCACTGTAACATTAAGTCGTACGTAAATTTTTTTTTTTATAAAATGTTCCTGATGCATTTACGTATTGCGAAACGCGTTTACTATGCGGGTCATAATACAAAGTTTTTTATAAATTCGATTTTTTATTGTAAAATAAAATCATATTCATCTGTATCAAAAAGTTTTAATTTCGCAAAGATAGAAAGTAAATGGATAAATAAATGGAAAAATCTTAAAAATCTTCCAAAAAATCAAAACAATAAAGAAAAATTTTATGTTTTGGCCATGTTTCCATATCCAAGCGGAATGCTACACATGGGCCACGTGAGAGTGTATACTATTAGTGATACTTTAGCGAGGTTTAGAAAAATGCTTGGATATGATGTATGTGATAATGGATAATGATGTTAATTTATTTGTGCAATGTATAAATTCATGATGTGCTATTTTATTACACTCAAAAGGTTATTCATCCAATGGGATGGGATGCTTTCGGTCTTCCCGCCGAAAATGCCGCTATGGAGCGGGACGTTCATCCTGCTGATTGGACCATATCAAATATATCTTCGATGAAAAAACAAATGGAGAGAATTTTAGCAGATTTTGATTGGGACAGAGTATGTATATTTATATTTCTAAAAAATATAATTTGATTTATTCAATATACGTATTACTCCTAGGAAGTTACCACTTGCAATCCAGATTATTACAAATGGACACAATATCTTTTTCTCCAAATGTATAAAGCACGTCTCGCTTATCAAAAAGAGGCCATTGTTAATTGGGATCCTGTTGACCAAACAGTTCTGGCCAATGAACAGGTATCTAATGCTTAAAATAATTAAATAAATAGCATTGTATTCATTTCATAACTCAACTTCGCCAGGTGGATTCTGACGGGAAATCCTGGAGGTCAGGTGCTAAAGTTGAACGACGTAAATTAAAGCAATGGTTCCTTAAAATAACAGACTTTGCCGAAGTATAGCTTAAATTTCATTTTTTATAGTTTATAGCTAATAAATATACATTTTATAATATTATTGAATTTTGAATATAGCCATTGCTGAATGACCTTGATTTGTTAGATAAATGGCCAGATCATGTAAAGCAAATGCAAAGAAATTGGATAGGAAAATCGAAGGGAGCTGAATTTGATTTTATAGTGGTGTGTATTTTAACAAAGGCTCTATGGGCGCGTATACAGAGAATTTGACAGTCATCACCTTATTCAGGAATCAAAAAGATCTGAGTTCATAGTTAAGGTATTTACGAGTAGACCTGATACCATTTTTGGAGTACAATATATAGCTATCTCTATAGATCATCCCCTTTTGTCAGAAGAGTATGTATTTAAACTATTTTACATTTAGTAAGCCTAACTTAAATTTGATAAGCTTATGTTTCACGTAGGTGGCTTCCACAAAATACTTGCTCTCAAGTTTTGCAATTTGTGGAAAAAATCAGGCAACAACAATTATTTGATTTGAATGATGTAAATATTGGGCAAGGTGTAATATTTGTCTTCTTTTTCATAGCCATTTTTATATTTTGTTTTTAAAAGTTCATAGATTGTTAATTTTTTCAGGAATGCATACTGGTGTTTTCGCAAAGCATCCAATTACAGGTTTATCCATTCCCATTTATGTAGCATCCTATGTGGTTTCCGATTATGGGACAGGTGCGGTGATGGGCGTTCCTGCACATGATGAGCGCGACTGGGAATTTGTAAGAGTAAATCGTATCATTTCCGAGGAAAATCTTAAAAAAGTCATTATACCTGTAATTCGAGATAATTGTACGTTTGTCACTATACGAAAATCTCTGGTTTATCCTTATTTTTTGTGAAAAGTGTATTTTTGATATATTTTTGATAAAGCAAAAGTAACAGGGATGCAGCATAGCAATAAAGTTTTTACTTCGCGTGGAATATTGTCAGCGGAATGTGGTCAATATACTGGTCTTTCGAGTGATGATGCAGAGAAAGCAATTGTAAATGATGCACAAAAAGCGGGATATGGACGCTGGTCAATTCAGGTAATTCGTATTTCTCAAATTATAATATGAAATATATTTAAAGACTGTTGATGTTAAGAAATTATCATTATCTAGTATCGTCTTAGAGACTGGCTGATTTCCAGGCAACGTTATTGGGGTGCACCAATTCCGATCATACATTGTGCGAAATGCGACGTATGTACTTTATATTACATGACTCTAGGTGATTTCTTTTTTAGCAAAATTTACATGAAAATAGGTTGTTCCTGTTCCTGAGTCTGAGCTACCAATACTTTTACCCGCTAATGTCACCTTTTCCGGTCGTGGAGGTTCTCCCTTAAAACAAGTGCAAGAATGGATAAATTGTAAATGTCCAAAGTAAGTCATTTCCTAATTTTTAGTAAGGCTAGCTATTGACGATGCTAATATACTATTTATTAGGTGCCAAGGTCCTGCTATGAGAGATACTGATACGATGGATACTTTTGTTGATTCATCGTGGTATTTTATGCGATATGCGGATTCAAAAAATTCAAACCAGTAAGCCATGAACCGAAAAGAGATAGCATCATAAGTTAAATTACTGTAAGTGACTATAGTAACCATTAACATGTGATATAGGTCGTTTTGCCCTAAGAAAGCATCTAATTTACTTCCAGTTGATGTCTATATTGGTGGCATAGAACATGCAAATTTGCATTTGTTGTATTCTCGGTTCTTTACCAAATTTATGTTCAAACAGGGTATGTTTGTTTTGAAAGGGGATATTACCGAACCCGAACCATTTAAACAATTGGTTACACAGGCATGTATCATTGTTGTTACAAAATTCAATCCAAGATTTAGTACATAATGTGATATATATATATATATTCATTTAGGGGATGGTTCATGGAAAAACATTCAAAGATCCAATATCAGGAAGGTTTTTAAAACCAGATGAAGTTGATTTATCAAGTAAAAAAATTCCTGTTAATTATTTATTCTTTATATTATCTGACTAACTAATTAATTATCAAAAGATCCAAGTAAGCCTATACAAATCTCAACGGGAATGACTCCAGTAGTATCATTTGAAAAAATGTCTAAAAGCAAGTATAATGGTGTAGATCCAGAAGTAAATAAATTTTAATACACTATAAAAGAATTTATCATATCATTTATCATATTTCGATTGTACTTGTTTAGACAACTATAAACAATTATGGTGCAGATGCGACAAGATTGCATATACTTTTCAAAGCACCAGTGTCTGAAGTTCTCGAATGGGAAGATGCAAGTATAGTTGGCATGCAGAGGTGGATTGCACGTGTTTGGAGATTGGTTGAAAGTGTTGTTGAAAAGGAACCGTCAACAAATAATCAGAGTCTAAATTTTAACGTGAATTTACTAAGTAAGGAAGATAGGGAAACGTATAGAATCATAAACATTACGATAAAAGAGGTTAGTATACTTGTTAAGTCACACGAATATCCATTACATTTGTCAATCAAATCATACGAAATATATTTATTAGGTGACAGAGGACTATAAAAATTCAACATTTAATACAGCAGTATCATCACTGATTAAACTAACAAACCATCTGACAAGTATTTCCACATATCAAAATGAAAATGCATCCAAAAAATCTACAATTGTTTCACCAACATATGAATATGGTATAAAAACGTTGGTAAAAATGATGGCACCAATGGCACCTAGTATAGGAGAGGAATTTTGGGAAATTTTAAATCAAGGAAAACAATATTCAACATCTATATTTGAAGAGTTATGGCCCAAAGTTGACACAGAATGCTTAAATGCCAGTGAAGTTACTTGTGTTGTTCAAGTGAGTTTATTATTCTGTTCATTATTATTATTATTTTTTTTTTAAAAAAAAACCAACCTTTTTTATTTAATAAATTGTCTAGATTAATGGGAAAATGAGATTTTCACTTATGATTCCATCAACAGTTATACAAGATAATCTCAGCACAGAGAAATTGATTCTAGAATCTGAGAATGGAAAGAAATGGTTGGGAAAAGTAAATGCTGATAAAAAGATTAAAAAAATCATTCATGCTAATGAAGGAAAAATTGTAAACTTTGTTTTCGATAAATAAATTCTGATACATGAATATTTCAACCCAACACATTTTCAAGCATTACGATTATATACGCACTTTTAAATAAAGTACTTAAGTGCTCATTGGTTCTTATATATAATGCTAAAACATCATATATTATTGAACGTTTAGTTAAAGTTTCGAACTCTTTTTGAAATACTATAAGTTTCAATTTGATCCATTCCTTATGTTAATCTATTCCAACTCTGTATTAGGTCCAAGATTTTTTGCAAGAGAAATATATACAATAACGTTCTAAGTACATCCTTCTTGTGTACACTTAAGAAGGGTGTACTTAAAGAGGATGTGCATTTATACCGTGCATTAGAAAGAGATTATAAACCATAACGAATAATACAACGACTAGAGTAAATCATTTGTTAAACATGTCCATTAAAAGTATTAGTTTAAATTTTTACGAGCTATTAATCTTTCTAGAAGTGCAAATAAATTATGAATATTACATTTTCTTATCAAGACGGATAAAATATAAGGTAGAAACTGGTAGTAATATTTATGTACATTAAACACAAAATATAGATTTTGTCAAGGTTATATACTAAGTTTAATCTCAGTCAACTTTCTCTAATTACACGTTCTTTTTGATTTTTTTTTCTAAATGTAATTTGTTTCAAGTACACATATTATTTTTAAATATTTTTATTCTTTTTAACTAGATGTTTATTCTTTTTTTATTCTTTCAAATAAACTTTAAATTAATTTTTATTCTTTTAAAATAAATTTTATTCTAAAATATATAGACTTTTATTCTTTTTAAATTCTTTTTAAATAGATTTAAGTACAGATTTTTATATCTTGTCTGACAAAGTTGACTAGATCATCGGTGTAGTTAACCTGAAAAGACAACTTTAGTTAATGGATAATAAAAGTTTCTAATATCAAATGATTACAAGAATAAGGTTGTTTGAGCCTAGAGGTGTAAGTAATTTGTTGTAATTATAATGAATTACGGTATTTTTTCCGTAATTCATTATAATTACGACAAATAACGGCATTGCGCTCACGAGCACATCTTTTATGTCATCTTGATATTTGATGCGTTTAGGCATGCATTTATAGATATATAGTAATTTGTAAGAGTTGTAATATATTCATATAGTCGAACTAGCATGTACATTTAAAGAGAATTTGGATAGTACGTGCATTTAGAGTGTATATAGTTGAGTGAATCTCCGACAACTGCATTCTCCAATAGTCTGACGATAAATGTCCAGACGACCATATCGCGTTCTTCCGACAAAGTTTCAATGTAGCCGGATTAGAGTCTTAGGATCAAGGTATATTTAAAGTATACGGAAATAGAAATTTACTATGCCAGCCAAACTTTTACGCGTTAACTTTAGCAAAATGCTGTAAGCTATCAGAGATTTTGGTTGCTTAAAATTTAGGATGTCAAGGACATAGACTTTCGAGAATATTACCGTTAGTACTGTATCGAAGAATAGATGATTTTCGAGAAAAAGTCATGTCAAGGAATTGTTGCGAAACCAATTTAAAGAAAGCGTTTAGAGATCACATTAAAGTCTTTAAATTGAGATATATTAAAAATTCAGGTTTCTCTTTTCTTTTCAATCATATTCAGCATTTATCACGCTATATATATATATCTTTTACATTGTAAAATAAGAATAAGATATTGTTATTGATCATGATCAATATATATTTGAAAAATATTTATCGTTATCATTAATTCAGTAATTCACCGAGAAAAATCATGTTATTAACATGCACGTGATAACTATGTATTATTATTCGGAGCGCCTTCGAACAATGAGCTTAGATATGAAGGACATCAAAATGATTATGATCTATTTTCACTAAATAATTCACGGTGAACTTCATTTTCAGGTGTAATAAAACTCTTTGGTCTTTGAACTAACTGTTCGTTATTCCTTCTTTCTCGATCGATTATCACCTCTTTCTCATTTTCAAGACTTT